GGGCGGTGCCGGGAGGTTTGGCTTCCGACGGCTGTGGGAAGGGTTACAGCGAGAGATTCTCCCATCCCAGGAGCCCGCGGCGGGGTCTCGTGTTCTCTTGCTGAGTCTGATGGTTTTTTACTTTGTACACAGTTACAAGAAGGGGTCAAGTATTCGCCTCTTGATGACTTCTTCTTCACTGTAGTACCGCCCATCTCTCTCTATAACATCTGTGGTATTTCCCAACATACAAAGTCTGGAGATTGACTGGATACAAACCTGTAGGAATGCTTCTGCCAACAATCAGATCGTTTCCCCGTTACTTTTTGCTACGCAAAGACTGAGCAAAGATACTATTGCCAACTCTGCACCTGGAATACCGTGTCCAGTTCTGGAGCCCACAACGTAAGAAGGACATGGAGCTCCTGGAGTGAGTCCAGAGGAGGGTCATGAAGACAATCAGAACTGGAGCACCTCTACTGTGAAGACAGACTAAGACAATTGGGGTTCAGCCTGGAGAAGACATGGCCCAGGAGAGACCTCATCGCAGCCTCCGAGAACCCACACGGGAGCTTCAGGAAAGCTGGGGAGTGACTTTTTACAAGTGAGAGAAAATGGATAAAGGCTTAAATTGGAAGAGGGAAGATTTAGGTTAAGTGTTCGGAAGAAATGCTTCACTATGAGGGTGACAAGACACTGGAGCGTGTTGCCCAGATGACCTGTGGAGGTCTCATCGCTGCAAGTGTTCAAGGGCTAGTAAGATGGAGCTTTCAGCAACCTGGTCTAGTGGGAGGTGTCCCTGGCCATGGGGGGGGAGGCAGGGTTGGAGCTTTAAGGTCCCTTCCAACCCAGATCATTCTGTGATTCTGTGACTCCCCCACTGCCACCCCAGTTCCCTTCAAGTACACCTCTGAATTCAAAACAAAGGTGCACACATCTGGACAGGGAACTCCAGCAGTGTTTGAAATAATATTCTTAGCTCTCTTTGAAGAGCTATGCCTGAACCTCTAAAAACTGCATCAAATTTGGCAGCAATAAAATGGGAAATACCAGTTAACGCTCGGACACATGAAGAGTGTTAGTACCATTTACAAAATACGCAGACAGTGGAGTCTCACAGAGTAATATCAATTGGTTATTGGCAGTTAATTAAGCCTTGTCAGTAGGAACTGAAATGTAAATGCCCCATGTAATTTTTTTTATTAGCCTAAAAAGAAACATACATATCCTTCCATGAACAAAATATGCAGCTGGGGATATTAGAGAGTTAAATACTTGCTTGTAATGTTAATTAGCACATGTAATTATCCCTTTGTTACACAGGAATGTTCTGTAGGAATAAAATAGGCCCCAGTACTGAAGAATGGTGTAAGCATTCATGAATGGATTTCCTAGATAATTCTGCTGCTTTTTTCTGCGTTTTTTTTAATGCAAAACTAAAGTCAGTAGAGAAGATGAAAAAAATTCTGAGATTGTCAGTGCTGTGTGACCTACTTTACTTACAATGCCTTCAGACAAAAACTACATCACAAAGATAGCATAAGCAAAATATGTAATCAGGCACCAAAACTCATTCCTAGTGTAAAAAGTGTTAGCTTGCTGTAGTGTAACTCAGCTGTACTGTTTGCGGTTTGGGTTCTGCTGACTGTCCTAGCCTGAGGGCAACCGTCACTGCAGATACCGAAAAAGCTGTGTCACCACTGTTACTGCACATCCCTATAAACTTAATTTTCTAAACACTTTGTGATTTTTAGAATAAAAGCAAATAGAGCTTTATGCCATCAGAAATTAGTTAATTGCTAGTAGGTTTGTCAATCTCTCATCTGGGTCTACTGCTAGTGAGTTGTAAAAGCCTATTGTGTGAGCTTATCTGTAGTTTTAGGGAAGAAATAAAAGGGTCGTTGAAGAAGAAAGAAGCCATTTAACTACGACTAGGGATGCCTGCTGTAACCAGTTCTACTGCGGAGTCAGCAGAGATGAACGGGAGAAGAGACAGAACTCGGCCAGAGTTTCCCGTGAGGAAGACTCAAGGATTAAGTAAATGACCCCCAGGAGACCCTCATGGACTTAACACGCATGCGATAATGGGCAGACAGTTATGTAAATGATTTCTCGGGAAACTAATGAATATGTAAACTGTTTCTTAGAAACATTACACATAATTAGGTATCAGCTGTATATCTATCTCTCACCTTAGCCTCTAAGGCACGCACATTTTTGGAGGAGCTATGCCCTGTGTGTCTGGCGCCGTGAATAAAGAATACTGACTGAACAGTACTTAAGACTGTTGGGTGAACTTTGTTTCAAGACAGCTAGGAAATGAAAAATCATTCTGTGATTATATGATTGATTCATCTAAACTCAGCTGTTTTTGATATAATACATCAGTGTATGATCATTTTTTTTTTTGGCATGCATACCTTGCTAGGCTTGTTATATGGATTCCTACAAAACAACTATGAAAGCACATCTACTTTCTCTAAAACAATTTCAATGCTAGTATAAATAGAAAACACTAATGTATGTCTTTAGTGTAACAAAGAAACATAAATCTGATAAAATATACAATTTTATAAGTTTATACAAATTTGTGTTTTGCTTTGTTTGGTAATGATGCTTTATTTTGGAAGGAAATACTAAATGTTTAAACTACATTTCAGTGTGTTGATATTTTGGGAGTTATAGTAATATTCAACCATTGATTTTCTTGATTTCTGTCAAATCTGATAGGAATAGGATACACAGTCCAAAAAGTTTAATGTGTGAGAGAGTTCAATTGCATAAAGAATTTGGACTAAAAATAGTTTTCAGTCAGCTCCATACTCTATATTGCCAGACTACTAATAGGAGACAGAAGAACACTCATAGTCATACTGTATTGAATGTTACCATTCTGAAACACGAGGAAGCACTACAGAATGTTTGACTACTGTTAAACTTTTTTAGTATAAAAAAAAAAATAAACCCTTGTTCCTTTTAAGTTCTGTCTTTCAATGTCAAGAGAAAGTTTTACTTATTTGTATATTGATTATCTGTGTATTATTTGGAAATTCTTTTTCCACTGAGCCTACACAGTCAACTACTCACTGTATTTGACATGTACTCTTAAAATAAAACATAAGAAGAGAGAAGTTGCTAGTGACCTTGTTTTTATTTAGGAGCACATTAAAAAAGGTATGCCACAGTTATGGTTGGCTGGAATGATATGCATACTTTAATTTTTGTGTTTTTTTTTCAAATAGTAAACAAGCGTACATTCATTTGTGTGCAAGAACAACATTGTCAATAACACAATTATACTACAGAAAATTAAATGTTTTAAGAATATAGCTGTGAAACCCTTCATATTTTTGATATTTAACCAGCATTTTTAGAATTAGTCTGCTGAAGCAATTATGTGGGATAAACACTGAAAACAGGGCCTGTGGCAAAATGAATGTAATTAGAGTTGCACTGGCTCTGAAGAGAAGTAGAGCCCTACTTAAAAATATTACTTGGAAGCTGCATCTTCTGCAACTTAAATATGAAACGAGTTATCTAACTTTTAGTTCTGAAGCCAGTTATTACTGATCAGCCTCTTGAACTGAAAATGTGGACAATATTTTTCTTACATTTGTGATAATTGTAATAATTCAATAATTTTTCATGCCACAGATAGAACCACAAGAACTGCTGTGACTGTGAGACTCTATATAATCCAGTAACTCAAAAGTTCCGCTGATTTACTAATGCTTCTCACTGCTTTTATAAAATAATTGAGCTGTTGTCAACCACCTAGATTGGAAGGAGGTATGAAAACTCCCAGGCTATGATGAGTATTTTGCAACAGTAAGTACTGAGTTCTGGTAGACCTACTCCAAAGGGACGACAGCAAAGCATAGATGGAATATGTACAATTACAGGATGTTACTAGCAGACTGGCTGTGACAATCTGTCTTCTTATACAACCTGCTTTTTAATATTACCTTTTTGTAGATACACATGGGAAAGCAAATGAAACAATCTTTTTGGTAAACAAAAGAAGTTTTGGACAAAAACATACAAAAGACAGTTTTATCTGCATGTATACTAAACAACAAAAGAGGTGAATTTGAATGTTAACAGATGTGATGTAAACACAGAATAAAATAAGAAGAGTCAAAAGTGTAAATACATTAAGTCACTCCACCATGCCTAATTATTGCAGCATGTGTGATATAAAATAATTCAAATGCAGAAAACATCTGCTTATCTCCAAGACATCTCTTTGGACATAAAGAAAAGGAAAGGAAAAGGGAGAAAAGAAGAAGAGAGAAAAGAAGAAGAGAGAAAAGAAGAAGAGAGAAAAGAAGAAGAGAGAAAAGAAGAAGAGAGAAAAGAAGAAGAGAGAAAAGAAGAAAAGAAAAAGCTTTTAGCCAGCATGTTTTTTACATTTCAGCCCACAAAAGAAATTCACAGTGAGAGTATAAACTCCTGAAAATAGGAGTTTATAATGACAGCAGACAATGCCTTCATCACAGTGACATCAACAGAGCCACTGTAACACATATGACTGCATTGGTATTCTCTATGTACAAGTTAACAGTACATATTTGAAGACACTGAAAAGGTTCATGTGCAGCTTTTCCATTAAAGGTGTGCAGTTTATCAGACTGATAAATATAGTTCTTGAAATGTTTTAGAAAATGAGAAAAGACATTTGACCTAAATATCTAGAGTGCACACTAGTTAACCATATATAAACTAAGTATTCTTAAGTGCACTATGAACTACAGACATGAATGGCTTTTGAAAGCTCAATAATTTAGTTGAAAGCACACTAAAGAATTGTTTAAGAAGTTGCTTCCAGTTTTGTCTCATCAGCTTCATTAGTTCTCAGAAAGAGTTTCACCACTAAGTTCTAAATCTAGCGAGGTTTCTTCAAGAGATAGCTTTATGTTAGACACACAAATAGAAGATCCAGGGGTAGCTGTACAGATGAAGAAGGAAAAAAAAAGTATTAAGTCTTACACTTAAAAATATCCATGCTAAAAAGCATCAACAAGAAAAATGCAAGTTACCTAGCACAGAAACACACATAAAACTACACTGCGTCTAGTAAGATCAGAAGTGCAATGGTATTTTGTTCTGGAGGCCCTCAAAAAGTAGATAGTATAGCTGGCTGACAGTTCAGACTGAATATACTAATTGAATGCTGAATGCATGATCATGTTATCGGCAACTTGGCTTGACCAAGTCAGAACTTGGTCATAGAACTCCACAGTAAATGTTTAGAGAATATCTTAGAAATTCTGTCATTTAAATACAATAAAAATTTCCTCTGCATGTCTTACTTGGAGATATCTGGAAATACTGTTAATACTTTAAAACCACAGAAATTCTCCCAACATTTTGAGGGTAAAAGAAAGTAACCATTAGCACAGTTTTACTGCTAAAACTATTTGTGCACTGTTACTGAGTTCTCCCTCATCCATAAAATTATCGCACTTACTGAGAAAGTCAATATTAAGAAATAGCTGCCCTAAAAAATCATGTAATAGCTAAGAATCCTTCTCCTGGAAACAATGTAATGAAATTAGCCATTCTGCCTCTGACAGAAGTTACTTACGTAAGGTTTGTTTCTCTATTGCTATCCTTTCAGGGAAAGTTTCAAGTGGTGTTGGTTGAATTTTTGCAGGGGTATATGTATTTAAAGACATTTTTCTTCCTGACAGTGGAATCATGTAAGATGGAGAAGCTGAAATGGACAGGAAAAAAAAAAAAGATACACATCATTAATAACAAAAATACTCTGACCTGAGCAAAATGTCTAAAACAACAACCACCGAACTGTGTATCTGTCCAGCAATATAGACAGCACAGTTGCACAACTTGCAGCTCAGCTACTGACTTTTGACTCTAATACCAACATTTTAAGCATGAAAGACAAGTCTAAGAATCTTTAACCTCAGAAAACTATCTGATAACTTAATGCTGCTAAGGCAACTAAGCTAAATTTCAGTAACAGCTACCTTGCTAGAAGATTGGCAAAAGCACTAGTGCTACTTCTCATAGGTTATGAAGATTTCACTGGAATCCATTTAGTCCAAAGTACATATTGAAAGTGCATACAATGGATTATTCTCTAGACAATTTCTCGATGTTACAGGAAAACAGGAGAACAAAGCACCTATGGCCTGAATTCTATCAAGTATAACTTCCCACCACTCTTGTAGAAAGTTGACAACCAGACCACTACAGAAGTATGTCAGTTTTAAAAAAGTATTTTTTCATCTTACGTAAATTCTGAACTTATTTTTAAGATATTAACTTCTTCACTAGTGTAACAAAGCATGTTAAATAGCCCAAAATTTTAAAATACTTCTAAGCCTCGCTGAGCTCGTTTTCAGTAATACCAGTTTTCTTAAACTGCTTATCTTCCTTGTCATATATATATATGAGGCCTATCCTATCAAATTAGCTGCTGATTAAAATCTAAACTGTATAAAACTAAAATAAGAAAAAAAGAGGAAAAATCCCAACATCTAGGTAATCTTTGTATCAGTACTAGCAAGTATAAATTTCCTGATCAAAGCTTGAGTCTTTAGACATTTCCTCAAGAAGATTATTTTCAATCACCTGACACATGAATTATAAGCATTCTAATACACGGTAAATCAGAACTAACTGAAACTGTTTTCAAAGACCCAGCAGCAGAATTACAATGGGAAGTCATCCTCCAGAGACATGCACATGGCCAGAACTTAGGTTGCATTTAATTTCAAGATCATTTGAACATGAAGTATGCAGCACAAACTTCTAAAAACTGAAGTAACTGCAAGGTATTCCACATGTGAAACCCCAAGTAAGGTTAAAAGAAACAGAAAACAACACAGTTTTCAAATGTAAAAGGCAACAATATTGTGCTCAGGTTACTACCTGTACAACAGTACAGGATAAAGTTGGAAATAATCCATGCTTACAAAAAAAAAGCATTTCTGGTAATTCAGCTATCAGTGTAGGCAGTAGAGAGAAATTCTTAATGTGAGGAAACAAACCCATTACTATTTCATTAAATCCTTGATTTACTACTGCAGTGAACAGAGACATTACACAATGAATTATGACAATGTCCATACTGCAAAATAATTCTGCCAAAATTAAAATTATGGTTCACATACACAGTTAAATTTTTAAGGCAGCAGTCTTAGTTTCCTTGTTAGCTGTAAAACACTAGAAATATTAACTAGACAATTTTTAGAAACTTAAAAGTAACATAATTACAAACTAAAATCAGTACATGTCTCCTGTAGATTTTCCTTTGATGGAGCAGCAACAGAGGCAAGAAATTCATCAACCTGCTTCAGAGACAAGGAGTTGTGTAGAGTTTCCAAAGGGCAAATAGAAGGCACCATTGAATATAGTTCAAAACCTGAAAGAAAAATAATCATTAAAGAAAGAGATTTCCAAACATAAGACAGAATTTAAGCTATTGCATGGGCAAGTATTAATGCATGATAAAACAGTATTTAAATCAGCACATGCAGACATAGTAGTCTCTGGACACTGAATATTACTGGAATAGGAACAAGATGTGCTAGTTTCCTGGGTGTACTAAACTAAAGGTACCACATAACATAACATGGGATACAAATCCCCATGTTATACATGAAGTGGTCTTCAAACATTACAACTGTGGTTTTTTACTTCCCAGTCAGTTAATGACAGTTTTCCTCTAAGACAAACGTATTAAATCCTTAAAAACAAAAACAAAACAAAACAAAACAAATCAGGAAATGGTAGTTTATTTCCTACTCATTCTCATACCTGGCACAATACTAAATAGGTAACTCATTCATTCAAGTAAAATAGGATAGCTATGTTGTCAACTGTTAGCAGACAAGAACTAGAAATGCTACAACTTCCAGGAAATAAATTTGCAGAATTGACGTTCTATCATCTTCAGTATTCTGTGAAAACAAACTGTTGCCTTAAATTTCAAAGGAAAACCACTGTTAATACTTTTGTACCTTGAGATTATATATTTTAACATTGTAAAACAGATTTACACCTACCTTTCTGCATTTAAAAAAGTACTTGAAAGATTAGAAGAATAAGTAAAGCAACCCAAAATCTAAAAACGTATAGGATTTCACTTTTCTACGTTAGCATTGATCATACACCAACCATGCATAACATATTACTAACATATGAAGAAGCATTTATACATATTGGCAAAAAACCCCTGCAATTCTCTAAAGTGATACAAATTTGACTACTCAATGAACAGCTCTTCATCCAACTGCATTTCAGAAGAGTAAATTATGTCCATTAGTATTTTCAATGTATAGCTGTAACATTACAACTTAGTAATTCAATACTGTAAATTTACAGTTGCTACATTTCTTTTAAGATATTTAAATGAAGAAACATATAGTGAATGAAAAAATGTTTCAAATTTCAGTTCAAGGTACATTTGTTAGAGATAGCATTATGATTTTGAACTATTCCCTCTCTTGAAATACTAAGCATCAATATTTCTGTGATGCCCAGTGTTCCCCACTCACTCTTCATTTAGTGCCTTGCACAGAGAAGTACCTCAACTAAATTTCAACCCCCAAATGTCTTCATTTATATTTGAATCCACCATGGCCATACTCAAATCTGAGGGACAGTTGCTTCAAATACACAATCAACTGACATGTATTTCTGTGAGCTTCACTTATATTACAAATAAAATGTTGCATTGCATGGAAACTTGGTTTTCATGTACAAAAGAAATACCACCATATATTTTTTATTTTCCTATAAAGACAGTAACTAAGCTGCAGTGTAAGCACTAAGATGTTTGTCATACACACTAATATCCTAGATAACTATGCACGCATGCAAAGCGCAAACCCTTTCTTTGCATTACAGTAATATGTAAGATTTATCTGTTTGCACTGCCAACATAGTCACTATCACTTGAATTAGAACTTTTTTTTTTTAATTTTGCAAAGAACACAGTAGGGACAATGTCAGGTTTTAAACAAAAATTAGTGTTATAATGCAGCGTTACAGAAAACCAGAAAGGAATTTTAAAATACACCCATGCCCTTTAAAACAAGGAAAGAAAAAGGTTTTCTTCTTCCAGGAATTTCCCTTGCATAGTTTGTTTCCTACCCCCTTCCCCAAGTTTTGAACAGTTTTCTGCAGTGTTTATTTGAATTTTTTATTATAAATATTTTATTATGAGAAATACATTTGAATTTTAATGATGAAGAAGCCTGACAGTATCCCTTTAAAAAAGCTATTTCCTGTAAACTAACAGCCTTTGGTTTGGGCTGTATTTATTCTTAAAGCACTGTGCCCACCAAAAGCAAGACAATGAAAGGGTTAACGCAACATCTCAAAAGCCACCCTGTTGTCTTAAATTTAAAAGCTATAGAGACATACCACTGAAGCCTAGAAATTCCACAATGGAAATGGACCAGCACCTAAAGAGGTGTGGATGTTCTGCACAGAGGCCCAGAAAATAAGGTAAAGCACTGTCAGAAGATACTTGTTTCACCATGTTCCTTGAACTAAAGATGGGGGGTAGTCTGAAATGAGTTAAGAGGGTGTGATAACAACATAAAAATAAAACAAACAAACAATCAGAGTGAAAGGGACAAGGAGAATCAGAATGATAGCCCAGAGGACAGACAAAACAACATCAATATGTTCTTATGTTAGTAGTGAACCCTTGGAAACCAGCAATACGCTTAGGTTTCATAGGAGCTCATATAACATGCATTAATCTGCATAGATGTGTGGTAAAACTGCTGTATTAAATTAATCAGAATAATCAATGCATTCATTAAAAGCAATGTAGATCTTTTATCAAAGAATGCAGTCACAAGAAGTGCTAAATGAAACAGAAAATAATCGTATTATTATATACTGATAGTCAAATGCAGGTCTTACTTTCTGATCTTTCATGTTTTGGAAATATCTGGTTTAACTCTAAAGATGACAACTGGACTCCTAACTTTCCTATTTGAAACTGGGCACTAGAATTGGCCTTTTAGATCAAACAGTCTGAATGGTATTAATTCAGCCTCAGTATAGCAGTTTCTGTTAAAGGAACATTGCAGTGCAGAAAGTCATTGTGATTCCAAATGAATATAATAAAGCCAAACAAAAACTTGGCCTTTTTAAAAAAAATCTTGTTTCTAGGAAAATACATTTTCAATCTAACACAAAAATACTGATTATTTTTATTGCAGTTTCAATAATAACACATCAGTGTACTCTGACAGTAGTCATGCATGTTTTAAAACTGCAAGCTGGAAAAGCTACATTACAATCCAGTGGATGCTGTAGACTGAGTCTGGTTTTCACGAACAGGACACGTTTTGGACCTATTTAATCACATAAAAAAATAGGCACAAAATATTTTGCAGAGGAAGAGAAAGACATAACTCTGTCCTGTGTATTAAACCAGACTTTTTTTGTAACTGTGATACACTGAAGACAAGCTAACTCTCACTCTTGAAGCTCAAGAGGTCAATGTAAGCAACAGGAAAGTCTCTGGCTGTGATTTTTAGTGCAATTTACAAGTTATTTGCACGTCTGATGAACAGCAATGTATGATAAGGTAATATAAATTTTTGTCCAATGATAAGTATAGCAATTTAGCAGGAACAGAACCAAAGCTTCTGCGTTAGTATTTTAATTTAGCATCGCTTTAAGAAGGTAGTCATAAACTCCAGCTGTCAATTCAGTGATTTATTTTAAAATCAGCAGGCTCAGGTGAACAGCTCAACAGGAGAAAGACAAAGAGGAAACAGCAGCTGTCAAGAAGTGTATGTCCAATAAAGATCAGATGTGATTCTGTTTTTATCCTGTACCATACAGTCTGATCACACAAGAAGTTGGGAAGGATAACTTATTACAGAGATCATGACTAAGAGGAGGACTTCAGGTTTTTTAAGGATTTTTCTAAGGAATTAATTTTGATGTTGTATTTATACTAATAAATGGTAAAGAAGGGATTAGGACATCTTATGATTACAAATATATTTGGAGTTGTGTTTGAAGTTAGGAACAACAGACAGCTGGATGATAGTGTACACCCGTATTTGAAATAATAAAAAAAAAAGGGATGAAGCAAAGGAACCTTTTGTTTTTGTTTTTGTTTTTAAAATAAAAGCAAAACGTACCATTGGTTGGGTGTCGAGCAAATGAGATAGAAAACCTTTTAACAGCAGAACCGCGTGTGGTGTCTGAGAAAGAGAAAAACAGGTACCTGAAATTTGTAACAGCTACCAAAAGAGGGGCATTTTAAAAAAGGAAAGAAGAAAGAAAAAAAGAAAAGGTAAGAAGGTATTAGAACTGAGTGGCATGCAGAAGGGACCAAGGAAAAGGGCTAAAATCTAGACAGAGGTTAAAAAGAAGAAAATTTGCATTGTTGGGAACTGTAAGATGTGTGATGAAGTGTATGAAAACAAGCAAAATGAGTTGATGATTCTGGCATACAAGGTTATATCAGATTAGAACTGAACACTGAGGAATGAATTGGGGGAAAACTGCATGAATACTATTTCGCCTTAGAGTTATAAAGGTATGCTTTGACAGCTTTACATTCTGAAATCTAGTGACAGAATTTCTTCTCTATCCAAAAATGAAACTCTTCTGCTCCTTTGTAACCAAAATCCCATCGGAAAAAAGGTCAGGAATCCTAAAATTTTCACCATCAGTATTTAACTTGTTAATTTGTAATTTCTTCCATTCCTTGTGTATCCTCCAAGTAATTTATTTAGTTCAGTGAATAATGATAAAAACCGAAGTTTAAAATGAGAGAATTTCAGAACCAAGATTTTGGTTTACTTAAAAAATGCACTTGTTGAAATCTTCTGGCATGTATTACAAGTCTGTGAGCTAGTTTTCAAGACAGAAATAAGAATTAACTATGCTATTAAGTTAAATATAAGCAAGCTACAGGCAATAAGGAAGCAATAAAAACTCATACAATTAATACTAAGGCAAAGGATTCTAGGATTCCATTAAAATCAGTAACCTACAATTTATCTTTAGAGTTTTAATGTGGCACAGGAATTTGTGTGTGCATGTGCGAGAGTGTGCACATACCATCTGTGAAGCCAGAAGTCAGCTTTTTACGATGAGTACGAGCATAATCCTGTAGGTTAGGTGCACTTGAAGAACCCCCGAGCACTGAGGTGCTAAACAGGCCCGCACAGTGAGACCCTGATGGGAGTTAGAGAAAATACATACAACAACCAGGTGTTCGTCCATTCACATTGGGGATGCATGCAGCATGCAAGCACATGGCTCTTACCACACAAAAGGCAACTTTTGGCAGTGCCTTGGACAGGTTCACAATATGCTTGTAATGTCAGAGTGGTACTTGGTAGGCTGAAACTATCATAATTTACTGTGGTTTTACTCATGACACAGCACCCTCTGCTATATGTGCAAAGTGAGGACTGGCTTTAACAAAGTGAGTTCTTGTCCTGTTTTCACTTTTGGTAAAAAAAGTTACCAGTTAGCACCAATATAAATATAACTAAAACAACAAAACAAAACCAAGATTATGATGATGATGTGAAAGTTGTGTTTTTTAAAACCCGCAGTTCTGAAATAAATACAAACTGGAAAAATACTGGTCATTTTTTCATTCAAATCAACCTTTGAGATGACAGGCTACAATGAAGTACTCATGCATACCCACAGACTTAATATGGACATATTTGCCTTCTAAACACAACAAAGTGTTAACCAAATTGGAAACACTCTATTTGTATTTCGGCTATCATCACTGACAATGTTACAAACTGAAAATACCTAGAAGTTCAATCAAATTTAGCTTTACTTCCTTTCATAAGTTGACTTTCGCACATCTCTATGCAAGAGAGTACTTTTGTTGCGACTCACACATTCCTGCCACTAGGAAGGGAGTTTTAACAAATCAGTGAAAGCCAAAGACAGAAACACAAAAATAAGTTATAAACATCAACCATAAATTAAATTGACAATAATTAACAAAATGGAAAAAAAAGTTGCAATTTTTTTCCATTAGTTTTTATTACTAGTTGAAAGAAGAAACTTTTCCACACATAACTTATCTTTTAACACTGAGATAAGTTAGCAGCAGATTATTTTTTTTAAACCAACTCTCTCTTCAGTGATACTTCCTTTCATTACTTTTAATGACCCAATGAGGGGAAACATTACTAGCACATGTGACCAATTACAGCCAAAATAAATTGGTGCCTGGTCTGTGGCAAAAGCCTTTCACAACTGAATACCTTAATCTACACATAGAAATACACTAGCTTGCACAAGGCATATTGTGTCATATGTTGGCAGAACGTGTAACTTTAGCAAGAACACAATAAAAGACATAACTTCAATATACAAGAGCACCTGATGTATGCATTTTACTAATGGAAAAACAAGGAGAAAAGTTATCACAGAAAGATTAGACGTACAAAACCACAAATATTTACAAAGAAAAGAAAAGCTACTTCTAAGTTTATGCATACAGCTTATGCATTTTCTACTCTTCATTTTTTTCAAGAAAAGACACCCAGAAAAAAAGCAATATTGGTTTACAGTAGTGCAAGATCATATTTTTACATATCAGTCGTTTATATGCCTGTTTCAAAGAAGCAACAGAAAAGCACCACTTGAATTTAAAGAATTTTAAACAACTGATTGAATTATAGTGTGATTAATTCTAAAGCTGAAAGGAAGAGATTTATTTTAGGAAAGGGAACGTGTGCAAAACCCCTGATATTGTCAAGAAACTTGAGGTTTGTTTCCCATGCCCCTCCCCTCACTAAAACACCTTCAGTTCCATCAATTGTCCACAGTAGGAAATGTTCATGTTCGTGTTTGAACAGTTTCCAGTGCAGGCCATTAATCCAAAAGCTTCTTGCAAAACCAAAAAACTAAGAAAAGAACTACATTATCTTAAAAATCTACTTCATATTAAAAGTAATCCTGTGTACCTATTGTAAGCACATTCAGTAGTGCGAACAGTCTCAAATAATCTGCAATTCTCAGTTATAACTTGTCTAAAAACTTTTGCTGCAGAAAAAATGTCCAGTTCATAGGCATTTAGCATGTATTACTGACAACAAGTACTATTTAGTCCTGTTAAGATAAAAAATATTCAAAGAATGTACACTGCGTAGAACAAAGGGCAGATGAAAAATGCTAACTTCAAACAAAATTTCAATTCTAGGGACATACCTAGACCACTCTGCTTTTGTTCCAGAATAGTTCGCGGTGTTCGTAAGTTACTATTGCTTTCTGATAGGACCTGGATATAAAAAACAGAAAAATAAGGGAAAGTAGAACAGCAGTATAAAACGTCCATTTAACTTGATACAGCAGCCTGTTTCAGACAGACAAGTGTTAATAAGCTGTATGATACATGTTAGTAAAAAATATGTAAAGGAAATATGAAAGATCATGCAATATCCCTTTCTGAAGGGAGTCCATTTCACATATGAATTCCTTGCAATGAAGTGGTGCAAAGCAAGCATTCAGGATGAAAAGGGACACAGACCAAGACAGATATGAGAACAGACATTCGAGATTTTATTTCATTTTACCAAATGCACTCTCCTAAACTGCGCCTGTATTGAAAAAAGGAGGGGAGGGAAGGAAAGACAAACAAGCTATTGAGGACACCATACAATCACTGATCCATGCACGGGCTCAATCAGTGTAATCTTCAGATGCTCATAACCTTTACAGATATAAACTTTTCCCATGTAAATAGTTTTAGAATTTTCCATAATAAAAAGAAATTATGAAAATTTTCAAAGAAAAAGGATTTGGTTAATAGAACACCATCCATTGTCATGCCTGTAAACAGTATCTCAATATAACAAACCAGTTTTTAGATATTCAATGGTACTTATAAAAATTTTGTTTAATTTTTTCCTGCCTTTCCCCCCAATATTTAGAAAAATCTCCAAAATACTGTACAAGTCAATGGATGATGTACTGTGATGGGAGTTTCAGATACCTCTGTATACAGAAGGCGAAAATTATTAGTACTAGAGTTTGTTCCCTGCAATAGTTAATACCAGGTCACTGAAAATATGATCTGTGCAAAAACAAGTTTTGAATAGCAATATGAAGTACCAAATAAATTATTTTAATGGTATTGGTTGTAATTATTTTTAAAAAGTTTTTCAATTTACCTACCACCAAATTAAGCAATGTTGTTTTTAAAGTCTTAAAGGACAACTAAACCAAAGTGGAAATATGTTTCTTTAGGCAGTAGACTAAGTCTTTTTCACTCTGGTAACATTTAGAGTTCCTATGAAGAAACCACATTTTTAGGAAAATGTGTAACACATTCAGTGGAAAAACATGCACTTGCTCTTTTTCCCCCAAACATTCTCCGGAAGTAATTTTAAGAAGTGGATGAATTTGCTTCAAATATAATCCATAACAAGGGATTAGATGTCCTTAAAGACAGTTGGTTGTTGCTTGGAATGCGTAATAATGTTTAATGAAGTAAAGTTTAAAAACCTGTTGCCATGAGCCAAAAATACTGGATGTGAAAGCCAATGATTTAGGGGAGACAGGGGAAGAAGTGATTTGTTCCCCTGATCTGCGTCTTCGACGCCCAGTACCCACACCACTGGTGTAATGCAGCCAGGTACCAATACACTCTGGGCTAGACACACTCAGGGGGCTCTCTTCCTGGAAGTGAGAAAGGGGGCAAAAAACAGCAAAGCATGCAAAGTTAGATACAACAGAGCCAAATGAACAGAAACAAACAAACAAAAAAACAAAAAAAAATATTAAAAAACAAAAAAAAACCAAAACACAAACCAAAACCCAAACAAACAAACCAAAACAAACAAAACAAAAAAGCCAAAAACCAATCTGCTTGCACCCTTTTAGATACTGCTTTTGAAAACCATTATAGAGCAATATTGCAATATTAGGAATTAAGTCCCACTTACATCTTCTAAAACAACACTTGAATCAAAGTTTAGGTAGACTATTATATATGAGAGAAAAGTAATTGTTACCAATAATTTTAAGAATTTTCCCCATGTTGGAAACAGAAAATCCTTGACGTAGTGTTTAATAGTTTTCCCACTCTTAAGTACATTAAACTTTCCTATTTATTACTTAGTAGTTTCAATTTCTAGTCTATAACCTTATATAAAAGATTCTAATTTTTGTAATTGGCTTTGAGACTTCACAGTGCTACTACGCACTGGTAGTAGCACTATCCTGACTAGTAGTAGTTATCTCACTTGAAAAAAGCCCTAAAAAGTATCTGACGGACATCTATTAAGACTTCACAGGAGGACAGTGTCAGGGTAAGAGTCCTCAATGCCCTACATCACCATGTATTATTAACAACCAACATTTTTACCAATACAGAATTTGATTTCCAATGCCAATGAGCCTTCCTTTCTTGTGTTACTGTGAGAACTCTGGGTTTTTTTTGTATTTTCAAAACTCATTCACAGTTGCAAACCTTCTGTAAATATTGCTGACTATACCCCAGATTAAAACTTCCATATTATCTCATATCTGACAGTGTCCTTTCAAAGTAATGGACATCAATGAAAAAATAATTGCTGTATGGGGGGG